GCTCCCAAGTCTTGGTCTTTTGAGGCTTTGAACTCAAGGATTCTATATCTCAGCCTCTTCAGGGTTGGGGTACAGGTATACACCATTACCACTGGCCAATGTTTGGGGTTTCAATTCTGCGACTAAAATTACTGAGGAATTCATTCCAACTCCCTCATTATAAAAGGAAGAAAAGCTAAGTCTTAGAGAGTAGAAATCTAGACATCTTCCCTGCTTCCCACTTCTTGTGAGGCCTTGATTCTGCCCTCAAGTCTCTCTGCTGCCAAAGAGCCCCACTCCCTGCCATCCAGTCCCTTGCGGGGATGGGGCTTGGCCTCTTGCTGAAGAACAGCCTAGGGGGTCTCCCTGGGTTCCTCACAGCCTTCTCAAAAGCCAGGTTGGAAGAGCTCAATGCTCCCAAGCAACATGAATCCCTCCCAGGTCAGTTTCATTCCATTCAAGTCCAGAGGGAGAGGAAGCAGCCAGTGCCCACCTGAGGTAGTCCACACAGCGAGGAAAAGGCTAAAATCGATGCTGCCCTAGGTTTCCTTGGGCTGAGCCTGAGATCTAGCTCCTCTGTGCTCCTGTCTGCCTCCAGTCAGGCTTTAGATGGATGGGCCAAGATCGGAAGCAGAGAACAACTTTCAGAACTTTAGTCTTTACTAAGAGGACACTGGCCAGGAACCCTCAGTCATAAACTCTGGGCTCTAGGCTCTCTCCTGGGAAAATCTCCTGCCCAGGCTCCTAAAGGCAGAGAGCAGAGGCAAGCACCTCAGCCTCCCTACCTCCAGCCCTGTTACTCAAATCTGGGCCTGGTATGAGGCAGCTGGGGCGTGGTCAGCACTGTGTAGTTCTAGATGGGGCCACATCAATCTGAACCAGGGTGGCTGCTGGTGGTCCTGGGAGGTCTGCAGAGGATGGGAAGGGCTTTTGAGGGAAGTTAGTGTGGGGAAACCCAACACATACACACACACCGTTGGGCTGGGACCAGGATCCAGGAGCTCTGCTCCGTGCCCTGCAAAAGCATAGTGGGCAGGACAGTCGGAGGTCCGTGTCTAGGGCAGTAGGAGTGTGAATTTAGCAGGGGCCCTCGAAGCCTAAGTCTCTTGATCAGATCTGCTCTAAGCCGCAAGCTTGAGGACTTGGAAAACCCACAGAGGAGAGAAGAGCCGAGGTCAGGGTCGGGAGGTCGCCTGGGAGGGACTCTGCTGCAGTCCCTTAAGAAGGGGAGAGAGATCCCTTACATTTCGCTGTTCACTTCCGGGACGAAAAGAAGGCAGAGCATCCCTCGAGTCATCCTGTCCACTGTCTCCCCTTTCGTCTCGGCACGGCCATGCCTCAGAAAAGAAGCCACAACCTTGGGAAGGCAGATAGCTGCAGTCTCCTTGTACAGAGAGAAACTCTTAGGCTGGACGGCGGTGGGGGGGGTGGGGGCTCTACTGCTCTAGTTTTCTTATAGGTCTGAGAAACAAGGACCCGCAACCAGTGACAGTAACATTGGATGTTGGAAAGGACTTTGCACCCAGGACACACATGAACTCTCTTTCTCTGAAGCTCTGGGGGAAAGTTGGGTCCCCCATTGTCCCTGAAAAGGGAACTCTGCAGACACAAGGCTTTAGTGATTGGTGGTTTCAGAGATGGCGTGAAATGGGGGTCACTGGCGGAGTGGGGGTGAGCAGCCCTGCTGTCCTGTGTCCCACCCACAGCTCTTGGCCAACCTGCTCACTGGGCCCAGGCGCCGCTGGTTGAAAGGGGGCGGGCATGCTGTGGTTTCTCCCCGGCTTTGATTTATTGCCTAACGTAGGCAGAGAAGAAAGAGAAGGCTCATCTCTAAAGCTGGAGCCTTAGGAACAGGACGTGAGCCTTGCTCACATCCTCTGAAGACCCAGCAAACATAACCCCCCCCCCCCCCTAATCCGCTGCAGGTCTGAACCTGCCACTGGGCACAGATATGCCACCAAGCAGGCCGCCTGCACTGTGCTGTGGGTTCCAGATGCCTCCTCCCCCGCTTCCCCCCCTGCACCCAGGCAGCTATAGGGAGTGAGACAGAGAGGCAGGAAGGACTGAGAAGCTGGTAACAGAAAGGCAGACAGAGCAGAGAGCAGGGGACAATGGTAAGTCGGAAGCCTCCGAGCGCTGCAGCCAGAGATTACGCAGCCGATGGAGAGAGCTGAGGATACCAGGGGTGGAAAGTGCTCAGACTGATGACCTTCTGGAAGCAGGGGCTCCAGAGGAAGGATCACTGTCAGCCCATGAGTCACTTTGGGAAAACAAGAAAGAGATCTCCCTTTGGGTGGGTACCATTCCAAACGTGGGCCCAGAACTGAAGTTCAGACCCTGTCTCCTCTGCCAGACACTTCTGTGCTGCTGACAGCCTGTGCAATTGTACAGAGAGTCACAAGTAGAGTCAGGGCCAAGCAGCAGAACTGGGAAGCGTGCTCCACCTTAGGGAAGCCCCGGGAGCTTTGGGATCAGCCCCTCAAATGCTCATCTTCTCTTCACACTGGTCCCTGGGATGCTGTGCCCTCTCTGGGATCTCCACCCGCCTTCAGCTCTGCATCCGTTTCTTCCCACATTTACCCCTCTTGGAAAGATTGACTTAGCTAGGCCAAAGTGCATCATGGATTGGGATGGGAAGAGACAGTGCCTCAGTCTTCCCTCCTCTACAATGGGCTGACAATTCACTAGCAAGAAGAGGTTAGTGAGAGAATGCCAGGCTGTCTCCCAACCTCTTTCTCCTTTTGCTCCTGAGAAGGTACGAAGCAGCTGGAGGAGGCAGCGTAATCTGAAGGATCCTTCACAGTGATCATGAGGGTTTAGAGCTGGAGGTGCAGACACTAAGCAAAAAGATGGAAGCTGTATTCCCGGCACTTCAGAGTCTCAGGCAGAAGGGCTATCCTTATCCAAACAAAACCTTCTCTCAAGAAAAAAAAAGGAAGAAAAAAAGAAAGAAAGAAAGAGACAGAGAAAGGGGGGCTGGAGAGATGGTCCAGAGGTTAAGAGCACTGGCTGCACTTCCAGAGGTCCTGAGTTCAGTTCCCAGCAACCACATGGTGACTGACATGGGATCTGACTCCCTCTTCTGGTGTAAAGGTGTGCACACAGATCAAGCACTCATTTGCATAAAATAAATAAATATTTAAAAAGAAGCAAGGGAGGGAGGGAAGGGGGAGGGAGGGAAGGAGAAAGGAAGGAAGGAAGGAGGAAAGAAGGAAGGAATGTTAGACATGGTAGCTCACACTTACAAGCGTAACTCTCAGGAGGCAGAGGCAAAGGGAATCACTACAAATTTGAAGGCATCCTGGTCTACATATCAAGTTGCTGAGTTGCAGGTCAGTCAGGTCTACATAGAAAGATCCTGTCTCAAAAATCCAAAGACCCACCGGGCAGTGGTGGCGCCCACCTCTAATCTAAGTATTCGGGAGGCAGAGGCAGGCAGATCTCTGTGAGTTCGAGGCCATCCTAGTCTACAGAGTGAGTTCTGGGACGGGCTCCAAAGCTACACAGAGAAACCCTGTCTAGAAAAAAATCCAAATACCAAAAAGCAAAACAAAGTCAATCAAAGAACTGAAGCACGGGGAGGGTAGCAGGGGAAGTGGGTGAGTGACATATAATGACAGGTTTAGATGAAGATGTCATCGTGCACACTGTTTTCCCACCTGCTAGTGTCATGAGATAACTCCTTAGTCAGGACGTTTAAATGGTTCTAACACAAAGAAAAGTAAAAATAAAGACCATTATCGCTGGGCAGTGGTGGCGCATGCCTTTAATCCCACCACTAGGGAGGCAGAGGCAGGTGGATCTCTGTGAGTTAGAGACTAACCTGGTCTACAAGAGCGAGTTCCAGGACAGCCTCCAAAGTCACAGAGAAACCCTGTCTCAATAAACCAAAAAACAAAAACAAAAACAAAAACAAAAACAAAAAAAAAACAAATAAATAAAGTCAATTATCTTGCATGCTAACTAAAACAAAACAATTTACTGAACTAAAATGTACTGGGTTAAAAAAAAGTTTTCAAACTATGTAGCTGAGAATGGCCTTGAACTTTAGTGTGTGTGCGTATGCCTGTTCAAACACATGTGTGTGGCTTCATGTGCACACAGAAGTCAGCCTCAGATGTCATTCTTCAGGAACTAACCTTGTTTTCCTTCTTCCTTCCTTCCTTCCTTCCTTCCTTCCTTCCTTCCTTCCTTCCTTCCTGCCTTCCTTTCTTTTTTCTCCTTTGCTTGTTTGTTTGTTTGAGGCAGTCTCTCACTGGGATCTGGTGTTTGTTTGCCAGTGAGGCTAGGCTGGCTAGCAACTGAGCCCTTGGGGGCGGGGCATCCGCCAGTCTCAGACTCCTGAATGCTGGAGTTTACAAGCACAAACCATCACTGTTGGCTTTTTAAGTGGGTTCTGGAGATTCAACTCAGATCTGCTCGCTTATATGACAAGCGCTTCATGGACAAAGCGGCCTGATCCTCTGGGCTTCTTGCTCATTCTGAGTTCCGGGATTACAGGCATGCACCATCATACCTGATTTCTACAGTGCTGGGGACCTAACCCAGAGCCTCATGGATGTTAAGCAAATACTCTACCAACTGAACTATATCTCCAGTCCTCAAAAGTTAAAACAAAGACCAGAGAGGTGCCTCGGTGAGTAAAAGCACATGCTGCCAGTCCTGATGACCTGAGTTCTGCCTCAGAACCCAGCTCCAAAGTTGTCCTCTGGCTTCCACACTCGTGTTGTACACACACATAAATAAATGATAAATGTAAAAAATAAAATAAACCTCAGCTGGGTCCTGCTGTGATCATCACTCATAAACAAAGTCGCCTCCTCCCTGAAGGGCTGCCAGGCACTTTGGGCTCCTTTTAATCTTTGTTTACAAATCAGATGAGGGAAAGGCAAAGAAATGGAAATAATGAATGAAATGAAAAGTGGAGACAAGGAATCAAGGAGCAGAGCCAGTGACAAAACTCCTCTGGCTGTCATTCTCAGGGCCACGTACTGATGTGAAAAGTGTTAGTCTCTACTTACAGGATTTTCAGGCTGTGGAGGCCGGAGAATGCCTGTCCCGGGATGTGTGAGAGATGGTTCCCAGAGAGCCGCCTGGAATCAAAGACAGAGGTCAGTGGTGTTGCCAGGTAGGGGGTGAGCTGCTGTCTTGGAGTACAGGGGGTAGAAGGTGGCAACGCATGCCATTTACTGAGATCTTCAGTTCACTGTACACCGCACAGGCATCAGCTCCAGTTTCACAGTTAATCCTGGGAGGTGCAGGATACGGTGACAATCCCGTGTTTGAAATGCTCGGAGCCAGGGGTGCTTGGCGCTGAGATTCTTTCCAATTTCCAAATATTTGCATCTAGATAATGAGCTGTCTAGGGTATGGGTCCAATTTAAACATAAATTCAGTTGGCTTTATTTGATTTCACGTTTATTTATTTGGTGGGTATGTGCCATGACTCACATATGCTTGTCAAATGACAAACCAATGTTCTCGCTGTCCACCATGCGGTATTTGGGGACTGAACTTAGGTTGTCTGGCTTGGTGGTGAGTGACTTTATTCCCCGAGCATCTCACCAACTAAACCAAAATTTGATTATTTGATAAACACGGAACCTGAAGGTAGTTTTATGCAATGATGTCTTGTTTGGGCAGGGCAGGGTGCCGACGACGGAGGCCAGTACCTCAAACACGCTGAGTTATTACTCCAATACTACAATCCTTTATTCCTACAACAAATTTCAGTGCTCTGTGCTTTGATTCAAACTTGTCACATGAAGTTGGGTGCAGAACTGCCCACTGTGGTGACCTATCAGTACACAAAAAGTTTCAAATTTCAAATTTTAAATTTAGGTGTGGTAGTACACACCTGTAATCCAAGTACTTAGAAGCTTAAGACAGGAAGATTATGAATTCAAAGCCAGCTTTGGCTACATAGAGGATTCTAGTCTAGCCTGAGCTACATACTGAGATCCTATTTCATAAAAGTTCCAGATTTCACATTTTTGGATTGAGAATGCTCAGTCTGTGTTATCCCCACACACACCCAAATTTCAGATAAGGAAACTACAGCTTGGTGTGTGTGTGTGTGGGTGTGTGTGTGTGTGTTGTTGTTGTTGTTGTTTGGGTTTTTGTTGTTGTTTTTAGACAGGGCCTCTCTAGGTAGTCCAGGATAACTGAACACTCACAAATCTCTTGTCTCCCCTGCCCTGTGCTAGAGCTGGAGGCGTTCACCACCATGCCCAGTTTAGAAGCTCGTGTTTAGAATTGTTATTCCACAATGAGGATACAGTTTAGTGATAGAGCCCTGTGCCCGAGTCCCTGGTTAGTCTCCATCATTTGGGGGAACTCTGTCTCTAGTTTCTTTATTTCACATTTGTTGCTTTAAAAGGTGACACTTGGGGCTCAGAGGTTAAGAGCACTGGCTATTCTGCCAAAGGTCCCAAGTCCAATTCCCAGCAACCACATGGTGGCTCACAACCATCTGTAATGAGATCTGGTGCCCTCTTCAGGCCTGCAGGCATACATGTAGGCAGAACACTATGCATAATTAATAAATAATTTTTTTAATTTTTAAAAAGGTAACACGTGCGTCTCCATACTTGGGGTCTGTAAATAGGCCTAGGTGGTAGACTGCCCCTTTAGGCAGGGCCTTTGACACTGGTCCAGCCCCTTCTCAGAGTGGGAGACGGAAAGTTGGCCTTGTCAAATAAATGCCTCAGCCTTAGCTCTCCTATGAACTCCCATCCAAGCTGTGCTACACCCACCTCAGGATGACCTCCGCCACCCACATCAGGATGACCTCCGCCACCTTTAAAAGCTGACTTGCCTGTCCTCTACTAGCCCCATTCACAGGGAGCGTTCCCTCTTGTGGAAAACAGCCTTGGTATTAGGGGTGATGGCAGTTCAAGGGTGATTTCCAGGGAAAGGTGGGATCCCTAGTGAAAGCCAGGGCCTAGAAAGATGGCTCAGAGGTTAAGAATACTGCTTATCTTCCAAAGGAGCTAGGTTCAATTCCTAGCATCCACATGGCAGCACTCACAACCATCTGTAACTTCACTTTCAAGGGATCTGATGCCCTCTTCTGTCTCCTGGGGCAACAGGCATGTGATACACAGACATACATGAACCATACACATAAAATTTTTAAAAAATTTAAAGAGGGAAAGCTATGCTGGGTATGGTGACTCATGCCTGAAATCCTATCTCTCAGGAGCTTAAGCAGGAGGATAGCAAGTTCAAGACCAGTCTGAGCACCAACAGTGAATTTCAGGCCACCCTGAGCTACATAGTGAGACTGTCTTGAGAAAGAGCTGCAGAGAACTTTGGCTCAGAACTCTGGTGCCGCATGGCTTGACATAGGTACTCTGGGAGTCACCCGTGTATCCCATCTCGACTGTTTCCCAAGTCCTCCTTTCTCCTTTCTCTCTCGAGCTCCACTGTGCTCCTTACAACTGTTGACCTGCGAGTTCTGCCCCCCACCCTCCGCCCTCCACCCTGCCCGCGCCCTCACTCCCACCCGCCCGCCTGCCAACTCACAGCTCCTCCAGGAAGCGCAGGTGGCGGAAAAGACCCGGCTGAAGCTCTGTGAGGTTGTTCATACTGAGGTCTCTGCGTGGAGAGAAGGCGAAAAGAAGGCTGTGAGTACCCGGCTGTGCCAGCGGTGACGCTCTGCTCCAGCCCTGTTTGGGGGACCCCAGGGCTTCCCGCTGTTCCTCCACCTTCCGACCATGTCATCCTGACCCCGTAGGCTGTCTGACAACAGCAGCCACATGCAACTCCAGGAGCAAAAAAAAAAAAAAAATGGGGTCACTTTCTGGTCTTCTCTCACTGTCCTCTCTGATTTTAATGCTTCCTTTGGCAGGTTCTTCTGGGACTAGCTATGGTTAGCCAGTAAACCCACCTCCCTGTTAAGAGAGGAGCCAGGATGGGTTAAGAAGAAGGAGAATGAGAAGGAGAAGAAGGAGGAGAAGGAGGAGGAGGAGGAGGAGGAGGAGGAGGAGGAGGAGGAGGAGGAGGAGGAGGAGGAGGAGGAGAAGCAGATCAGGAAGGCAGAGTCCCTAGTGTGAGCATAGCCTTCACTCTGAGACTCAGGGTCACTGCCCAAGCTGCAGAGAGTAATATTCCTGGACCTGGGTTCTTCCCCAGCCACATGTGTTGTCCTGCTCAGTAGTGCTGGGCTTCACTGCCTTCTCGGTCCCTGCCAGCCTCTTCCTCTCGGTTTTGCCTCTCTAGACCTCTGCCTTTCTTGATCTCTTGACACTTCCCAGAAGATGCCCAGGTACCAGAATAGCTGGATGTGCATTCACCGTCTAGATCATCCTAAATTGCCTATATTATCCGGAAGAACTTGTGTTACTATGCCCTAAGATGCCCTGCACACAAAACCATCACTATAATTACATCAACATTACTGAAGACCCACCTTAATACCAGGCACTGACTAGCCTTTATCCCAATAATCCCCTTTAATCCTTACCATAATCCCAGGAGAGCTGCTATTTGACATTCAGGAAAACGAAAAAGGGGCCAACTATGTGTCTCCGTGGATAAGAAGACCTGCTGCCAAAGCTGATAACCTAGGTTCATTCCCTGGAACCCCACATGGTAGAAGGAGAGAACCAACTCCCAGACTTAACTCTATGATCCCCAGATACTCCGCTACCCCAATGCACACGAAAATTTAAAAATTAAAATTAAAAAACAAATAAAAGAGGATTGAGTAGAGTCAGAAAGCCCCCAAATCAAATTTCTCCTTTAGTTACCCATCTTGACCTCTATGACTCTCCATTTCCTCATTCATTTAAAAAAAAAGATTAATAGGTCTTTGTGAGGATTAAGTGAGCTAATGTTTACAGACTGCCTGGTAAATAGTACATACTTAATAACTATTTTCCTTCTTCCTTCCACCTTCCTCTTGGTATCTTATATGCAAGGATCTCAGCTCCACAGATCTGTAGGTGGAGAGCCGATGGCTTGATTTGTGGGTGCTGCCCAATTTCAACCTTTTCTTCTGTTTGTGCCTGGGTGAGCAGTGGTGTCTGAGGTTACAGGCACATGCCTGACACATCCTGTCTCAAAGTCCTACCAGCTGATTCTTGCCTCGATGTATGGCTCCCTCCAGCTGCAGAGGCAGACCACATCACCGAGCAGCATAGGTAGGTCCCCATGTAGCTTCTGCCTTCTCCCAGAAGTACAATTCACCCTCAAACTTTCCAGTTTCCATGCACCCAGAAGCATGCTTTCTTCCCATGTATGCTCAGAGAGGCAGGCTGGGGATGGTAGGGAACATGTGCAGAGAGAGAGAGCCCAGCTCTAGTCTATAAAAAGACTGTTTAGTCTCAAATGTTTTATCTTTGATAAAGCTTGGGCTCTAACTCCATGTCTTCCAAGGAAGGAAGACATTCCATGCAGGGTGAAGCCAAGAAAACTGGCATGCACAGCATGGCCTGCTCTAGTCTGTAGCCCCTCCCCACTATCCTGTGGAAATGGAGGGGCCATCCGCAGGCCTGTGGGGCTAGAATGGCCTTAGCAGAAGCTGCACCTGGCACACCGGTCAAAGTGAAGACGGGGCCCATGAATTAAGAGGACTCCTTGGTGGTTGTCAGCCTGGGTTCAACCCGCATGATGCCCGGCTAAAGCAATGCTCACAGAGGCCCAGGTTACAATTCTGATTGTGCCTGAATTCCTCTCCCTTGAATCCCAGGCCTGGCTCATCCTCAGTAAGGAGGAGGTACAAGGTACCACACACACACACACACACACACACACACACACACACACACACACACACACACAAAACGATTACCTCTAAATATTTACCCTGTGCATTTCTGGATGTGTTCTGACAGGCAGGGGAGCGGGAGTTCAAGGAGCATACAGGGCATGTGACTCAGGCCTCATCACTCAGCTGTCCCCCCAGGGGCCGCACTCAGAGGCTCTGATGCAGCTCCATGCCCCCGCACCCACTCCCTCCACCTCACCACCAAGGCCAGCGGCTTCATTGTTCTCCCCTGGGGACAAGGGGGCTGCACCCCACCCCCAGCCCCACCTCCCCACATCCTGCCCCAGACAAGCACCCAGCCCAGCTGCTGTAGAGGGGCCAGGTGGGGCTGGAGGGTGGATTTCAAATGGTGTCTATCGGGGGAGTCCCTTTCAACCTGGCTCTCACAAAAGGGAAAGGGGTGAGGCTGATGCCAGAGAAGGGGAAGGGGAAGGAATGCAAGGATTGAGGAGGGAGGCCAAGCATCGGATCCAAAGCCCAGATCCTCCACACTGACACCAAAGGATGCCACTGGGACCCTTCAGGGAGCAGAGGGAATGACAGAGAGACACCCCCATAACAGAGGTTGTCCTGTCAAGTCTGTAGCTTTGACCCATGACTGTCCTAGAAGACCAACGTGATTGTCCATGTGATTTTGAGATACATGGTGTCTGAATATGCCTTCCTATATTGTCTTTCAGAGTCCTGGGCATCCATGTGTCCCACAGGCAGGTACTTCCTCCATTCAGCAGTTTGCATGTTGGAGCTAGTTTTTCAAAGTTACAAAATATCCTGGGGTGTCTACCTATGAGGAAGGCAGAGCCCTTTGGGAGAAGAAAGCAGCTTCCCAGATCTTTCCATCAATGTTGGGAAGACTTCCTTTGGCTGTGTGACCGTGAACAAGCCTGACTCCTTTCCTGCCTCTGCTCACCCTTCAGTCCATTTCCTTGTCCATGTAGATATCGTGTCCAGTGATGCTGTTTAGGGATCTAGCTAATCTGTGGCTGAGCTGGATACACAAACCTAAACACAAATGCTGCTCTACCACTGTGAACATGAACATCACCTATAAACGTCATCCTATGAACACACCACATCACACAGTATAATCACCACCATACATCACATGTACACTACACCACATCAATGAACACTGCTAAGTGCCCCACACATACCACACACACACACTACATTACACACACCTCATACTACACACACACACACACATCACATACTACACACACATTACCACGTAGCATACCACATGCACATACACACTGTACTATACACACACATACACAAAATACGTACATAGACAACACATACAAATACATACCATATTCATACATGTGACACACACACAACACACATACATCATAGCACATATAACACAATACACACAGCTCTCCAGGGCTAAGTTCAGGGCATGAGGTCTTTTCAGTTGTGTAGGACCCCCCCACTCTGGAGTACCCAGGCTTAATTATCTATTGCTGCCATTAGGAAATTCTTAATAATTTTTAGACACCAAATTTTATTTTGCACTGAGCCCACAAATGTCACTGACAGCCAAGAGGGTGTGGTGGGTAGCTGACAGTAGGCCTCGGGATACCCAGAGGGGCCATGTGTCCTCTGGACTGGTGGGAGGGATGCAGAGGGTGTTGATGGGGGAGGACACTGAAGTGAATGGAGGGTGTGGCACTGAGAGGGGTAGCTCTGGGCACCGGAAGTGGAAGCTTCTGGCGGCACATTAGGAAAATGTTCTCAGAGGTTTACCCTGTGAGGCAACCAGGCCACCCAAAGAAGCTGGGTGAGGCGGTGTCACCATGGAGACTAGGAACAGGTTTGATAAGAGGGAGGATGCTAGGAAACTGAGGGGCCCTGAGCAGTAGAACCATGCTGGAGGGGGTGAGCTCCTGGAGCCGTTCCTCTAGGATCTGTCTGAGACCCAAGGACCCATGGAGACCAGCAAAGACCAGTGGCAGACAAGCTGTGGAATCTGCTGGGGGGCAGGTGAAGGGACACCCCCACACTGGAGAAGAGGCTGGTGGCAGACACCCCTTTTTCTACTTCATGTGCTAAGTACTCAGGTTGTCCATCTCCACAGTTAGTTTTGTTGGATTATTTTTATTGTATATATTCAGGATATGCAACTTGCTTATGTAATACACATTTGAACGGTGAGGCTATTTCCTGAGATGACACCTCCTATCAGAGGGAACTTGGAAACTATCTTCTTAGAAATCCCAAACACATAAGATGACACCAAGTTATCTTGGATTTTTGCAGTTTTCATAAATTTCCAAACAAGGACATTGTTTCCCTCTGGGAAAGGGCATCTCTCTGTCCGAATAACAGCACAGACAGTTCTTTTGGGCTTTTCAAAAAAATCCTATGTGAGAACAATGCTGTGTTTTTAAATAAAAGCCTATTTGCTTGGCTTTGTCATTTCTTGGCTCCCTCTTTGGTGACAGAATGTCTTCCGGCCTGCCTAAAAGTGGCAGGAGGGCTCTTGATGGGAGAAACCAGAGGCAGCAGGGAGCAGAAGGGAGAGGCTCAAGGGCTAGCAGGGGTTTGGGATATTGTGAAGAAGGGGACTCTGGGGAGGCTGCCAGGAAAAGGAGACATCTGGGCAAGTCAGACTGTACCCAGGGAGAAGCTGCAAAACCAAAGCAGGTGGCCCAATTAATTAATATGGGGACAGGATAAAGGCAAGAGGAGGGGACATTACTAAAATTCAGGTGAGATGGAAACACATGTGTGTGTACGCACACACACACACACACACACACATACACGCACGCACGCACAATTTTGATTGTGGTTACAAGATCAACAAGCTGGTCAGGTG